CATCGAAGCAATAAAAAATGGAGTGGTTGACCAATCGATGGGTGGCTGCTGCTGCTAGCATATGGATTCAATGGAGCTGTGGTGCATCCTATACCTTCAGCATCTACTCTCCTGTTCTCAAATCCACTCAGGGCTATGACCAATCCACACTCGACACCGTCTCTGTTTTCAAAGATATCGGCGCTAACTTTGGCATCCTCTCCGGCTTGTTGTTCTCCGCCGTCACACCGTACGGTCCCCCTCGAGCTTCCCATTCGAAATCGAAATGGAGATCGTTCGGTGGTCCGTGGGTGGTGCATGCGGCCGGCGCCATTCAGTGTTTTGTTGGTTTCATCTTCCTCTGGGCGGCGGTTGTCGGTTTGATCGGTCGGCCACCCGTGGCTGTTATGTGCTTCTTCGCTTGGTTGGGTTCTAATGGCCAGACTTTCTTGAACACAACGAATGTGGTCACAGGCCTGCGCAATTTCCCCGAGTATAGCGGCACTATCGTGGGCATCATGAAGGTTTTTTTTCTTCCCTTCTTCTTGATATTTTGAGATTATTAATTTGAGTTTTCTGGGCTCATTGCGGACTGGTCGTTGTTGAATTGCTGCTGTCTTTGGCTATTGTCAAGTGGAACGCAGTTTAGAACTTTAGATGATATCGCTTGAATATATATAATAAACCTTTACAGACTTGTCAAATCCCCTTCTGACGAAATTCTTACCTGCTTCTTCTATCTCAAATGATTCTCTGCAATTTCTTTAGTTAAATTTACTGCACGTTAACAAGTTCTGCTTTAACATGCTCTGTTTCGTTTTAGCTAGCAAGTTCATCTACTACCCAAATTCTAAGCTCAACTGGCATCTCACATATCTTCCCATTACGATGAGAGAAAACTAATGTCTCTAATTATATTTCTTGATGTACTGCTTATCGGGTGAATATCACCTTTTTCTTTCCTCCCTTAGTCACTTTTGATGGAGGCGTAGTTTGATGATTCAATGCATGCCTAAGTTCCTGAACGGTTGTGCTTCTTTTGATAACATGCATTACAGAAACTTCACGAAGCCCTTAAGTTTTGCCATATGCTATTTACTTAGTGTAATCCTGAGAAAAATATTATGCCTTTTTTCTTTAACCAGGGATTTCTGGGACTTAGTGGAGCTATCCTGATCCAAATGTATCACACTTTTTGTGACGGCGACCCAACCACCTACCTCCTGATGCTTGCTTGCCTACCTACATTCATCTGCCTATCGTTAATGTTTTTAGTGAGGATTTATGAAGCGCATGATGGTGATTACGAGAGGCAATTCAATGGTTTCTTTGTTGTTACCCTGACTATTGTTGCTTATCTCATGTTGATTATAGTTTTACAAAACATCCTCATATTTCCGTCTTGGGCACGTATTTTCACTTTTGTAATCCTGATTGTTCTACTAGCATCACCCTTTGGAATTGCTACCAAAGCCCATTGGGAGGACTCGCGGAGGTTTTTGCAAAACTGCTCACCTGAGAGATGTCCTCCTTTAACAAACATCCCTAAGTTAATTACATCCTCCAGTCATCTGCCAGCAGGGGATAATATGGAATATCAGGAGCTACCTAGTGATGAGAGGCGGTTACAGTCAACTTCAGATGATATGCTTCCTGGTGAAGAAGAAAAGAACCTCTTGCGTGCCATGTGCACTGTTGAATTTTGGATGTTGTTTATAACAATGATATCTGGGTTGGGCTCTGGATTGGCAACGATAAACAACATGAGCCAAATAGGGCAATCTCTTGGCTACAGTATTGTTGAGATCAATAATTTGGTGTCATTGTGGAGCATGTGGAATTTTCTGGGCCGTTTTGGAGGAGGCTATGTTTCGGATTATATCATGCACAGAAAAGGTTGGCCAAGGCCCTTGTTAATGGCAGCAACTCTGGGAGTTATGATTCTTGGACATTTAATCATAGCTTCTGGATTCCGAGGAAATTTATATTTGGGTCCGGTCCTTGTGGGCATCTGTTATGGTGCAAATTGGTCATTGATGCCCACAATCACTTCCGAAATATTTGGTGTAAAGCACATGGGTACCATTTTTAATACCATTGCTGCGGCAAGTCCGCTTGGATCTTATATACTCTCGGTGAGGGTTGTTGGATATATTTACGACAAGCATGCCAGTACGGAAGATAACTCATGCTTTGGCATCCACTGTTTCATGTCATCTTTTCTGATCCTGGCAGCTGTGACTTTTATTACCTTTTGGTTGGGCTGGCTCTATATTTCCGGACTAGAAGATTCTATGAGCTAGTTGTTCTCAGAAGGTTACGACATTCTTCAAAATAACTAAGAATGTATTTGCCAGCATTTGAGAATCAGGTAGAGGCTGAGAAAATCACTCTCGTGTCTTTCCTAAATGCAGAAATGTGCTGTAATCTTCTAGGGGTTTGTCTGTTAGACTGAAATGAGATGTGTATTCTATGTATTACATTTGTGATGTTATCAAAATAAAAAGAAGACAAGTCGTTTGTTTGTCAGTTTTAGATGTTCATCGACCACTGTCTTGTCTTTGATTAGTGAGCATGGATTTTGAGTTGGCTTTGTTATTCTGCATCACTTTCTTGTCTTACTTTGCCTTCCCATTCAAGGGGAAGATAGTTTGTACTTAAAAAAAAAAAAACATTCTTAGCCAATCAGTTAGTAGTTAGTACTGTGCTTAAGATGACTGTTATACAACCAGGGGTTTGTAAAATGAAAAAGCATAATATTTTTGAAATGTAAAAGGAGTACAAAAAGCTTAAGAAGAGAATTAACTAGGTTTGAACACCATCTGATGTCACACACTTGTTCAAATGCAAGCAGGAATGATTCAAGGGAAAAGAGATAGAAACAGAGAGAACTTATGGGGGAGAGAGGTGCAGAAACGGAGAAGAAGGGAGGGAGAAACAGAGGCAGAAGGGAGAAACAACCACAATGGAGGGGGCAGAGAACAGAAACTGAATGGAGCATGAGAAAGTTGAGGGGGAAGTCTGGGGAAGCCGAAGCAGGGAGAGGGATGGTGAGATCACATCTTAAAAAAATTCATTCATCAAGTCTGCAGTACATATGCAAAGATTTCTTTCATATCAAGTAATTTTGATGGAACTTGCTGATAAAATATAAAGCAAAATTAAAATTTGGCTTTCTTAGCTAGAATGAAACTAGATGACAACTTGCTATTGTAATAAAAACACCCACTTGCTAACTTAAAATATAAGGTTAAGGTGCATCTAGTATCTAAAGTATTTTCTTAAGTGCATCTGCATCCGGAACTCAAACAAGTTCTTGCTCTATCTTAACTAAATATATAAGATAGATAAATTTGTTTTACCATAAATATAAGATATAAGATAAATTGATTTCTTTTTATACGAAGTTTTCTTAAAATATATAATTTTTATATTCCATTACTATCTCCACCATCAATGGTCAAGTCCTTGTAAAGCTCAAATCTTGAGATATATGTGTTGGCTCATTGGTTAGTGGTTACTGTCTCCCGTGTCAGTTTTTTTTTTTTTTGTGGAAAAGAAAAGAGGTGTGTTTTTAGTACTAGTATAAATCTACTAAGCCAGCCTTTTTATTGTCTTTTTATGTTTTTTTGGCCTGATTTTTAATTTTTATTGTCTTTTTCACGCCCCTTTACATCACATACGAACTTTTGCCATTACCTTCATCTTTCTTCTTTACAATGAAGTCCATAACTAAGCATACAAATTGTAACATAATTAACTATTTCCAATATTTCAAGAGCAAGCTAAACAAAAAAATAGTAATAAAGTTCAAATGAAGCTATTCTAAAGACAATAAAATTAAAGTTAATTAACTAATATAAAAATTTCTAGCCCTTTATAGGAAAAAAGCATATGTAAGACTTCAAGAATGAGTTAAGGTGTATCTAATATCTCAAAATATTTCTTAGTACATCCAATACCTCAAAATATTTTCTAAGTGCTTTCCACACTCTGAATTTTTTTTTTTTTTTTTTGCTTTGGTGCTAGATGTCCCAAAAAATATTTTTAGATGCTGGACGTATCTAAAAATATATTTTAGAGTATTGGATGTATCAAAAAATATTGTGCACCTAAGAAAATATTTTAAAATGCTAGATGCACCTTAACCCTTTCAAAAATTAGCTTTATATAACACTCCTATATGTATTGGCAAGATTATTTATTGTAATTCTAGACAGAAAAGAGGTGTATTGCTTGGGTAAATCCACTAGGCCATTTTTTTAAAAAAATTACACTAAGCCATTATCTTCACCTTCTTCATTTTTTTTTAAACTAAAAAAGCTCAAATCCTTGCAAAGATAATTCACATATTTGGGATAGAATGGAGTATAAATTTTTGTTGAAAAAAAGCATGAATGGTGTGACTTGTTAACAGTTTTGTACTAAATAATTTTTTTGGATCATATTTGGGAATGTGTCTGCCATCTAAAAATAAATAATTTCTTTTAATTATTTTGTACTCTGCGCTAAACAAATGTGGTCCTAATCTAAAATTTTTAAATTTATTATTTTTATCTTGTGTCTTAAGTTTTTAAACTTAAAATATTGACAGTAAAATGAAGAAAACCTACTTTCTTAAAAATTATAGAAATTATTTGTGGAAACAATAAAATAGCACATAATTTGAAAAATAAAAATTTTACCTTGATGAATTAATATGAAATAATATACTCCTTCGGTCCTAAATATAAAACCCTTATATATACTAATATAAGAGCCTTATATTTAATATCAGAAGAGTAGTAATATAAAAATGTCAACGTCAACACCAAGCGTAAAATATAAAATTTGTCGATTCCAAGTCGTAAATTTCACCGGCTCAAAAAAAAAAATCCTCATGCTCCGTCCACAGGCCCAAACAATTTTTTTAACAAGTCCCAAACAATTTTGTTGATGATAATATTGAATTTCTGTGACGTCGGATATGTGTGATGATCTAAAACGGGCCTAGACTGAAGCCCATCTAGAGTGACGACCATAGGAGTCCTGGGGACAAGGGGATTTGGGAAGGGTCGGGAAATCAAGTCGATGATCGGAGAGTTAACAGTATACATAAAAATCCCCAAATTGGATTCCAGCCTCAATGTGATGGTTCTCGTCTAGCTCTGTGACGTTGTCTCTGTGTTGCTTTGAGATTTTGAAATCAGATTAGAAGAAGAAGTGGCACGAAAAGGAAAACCAGGAAGGTTAGAATAAGAAGCTCCGAGGCGAACAATAAGAAGAATCGGAACGTTCTCAGAGGCTCATTAATCTCTCTTCAAAATGAAGACCACGAAGGGAGGCAAGGTCATGAACCCCACCGATGCCTATCGCAAGGAGCTTCGTAAGAAGGAATTGAAAAGGGTATTTACTTTTATGAGCTATTCCTTTTCTCCTGGGTTTTCATTCTCGTGCCCGTCTTCTGTTTTTTGGTTGATTATCTCTCGTGTTTAGATTGTCGTGCTTATCCCGAATTGTTTTCCTGGTTTATTCTTCCGAGCAACTGTTCTTTCGATTACCATTTTTCTGCGTGTAGAACAAATTCTCTAAGACTGTCTTCGTTTATGCTTCGTATCTGTACCTATTTTCATTTAAATTTCTCGAGGTTGTCGTGATAATCATCCGAATGGAGTTGTCATTCCCCTGCTTCCTCCATGTGCAGCGAAAGCATAACATGTCAAATTATTGTGCTTAGTTTCTTGGCATAATTTCGTGCGATCTCCCAATCTCTTTGGTGTAGTTTTTGGAGTTTTCCTGAATAGCAGTAGTGGAATTCAAATTTCTCTGGGCTGTTGGCTTGAGTTAAGTTAATTAGATTTAACCTTTGCTGCATTAAGAAATAGGTGTTCATGGATATTTTCAAGGAAAATAGTTGGCAGTATCATTTCCTTTTCCCTTTTAGAAGTTGGCACTGCTGCTCATTTTACTCCCCTTCTCCCCTCACTTTTTTTTTTTTGGCAATCTTCATTATTATTTGCTTATGAGTGCGAATGAACCAGTAATTGAATGGGTGCCTCTGTTTTGAAAAGGTTGTAGGGTGATCTACTTTTACTTGGTATTTTGCAGCACTGGACTTATTGTCCATGTGAGCATATCCAGCTAAGATTCCTTCACTTTAGTTATTTTGTGGAGTATGAGGTGAATGTGAAGGTAGCTTTAGGAGGATAAATACTTTGACATATTTAATTTATATATTTGAGTAAAGGACGATTGGTCAGTGGTGGTTAATAGTGTCAGCCAATAGATATCAGTCATACCCTAATCCCAATGGCATTTAGAGGTGGTAAAATAGTTGCCTAGTTTTGTTTGGTAACTTGACTTCCTTCTCTTAAAAGAATTGATTTTGTCATGTGGATGGCTATATGCCATTATTAAGTAGGCTGCCAAACCAGTTATTTGAAAATCCATTTAGTTTTTATCCAACTGGTTATTTCAGTAAAATAGAAGCTACTTTGTTTTCTTATATTTCATTTTTCCTTAAAGCAGACATTTTCTTTTACTATTTATTTCATTCACTCTATAACATTTCTTTCTTTAAGATCTGCCCGTTTCTCAGCTCCCCTGTGTCTGTGTTTTTATTTTCTCTTGCTTGTGTTTTAGAAGGATTTAATAAATGATCACTATTCATGTTTTTCGCCCCTTTTTAATTGGCTCTTTCTATTGACCAGAACAAGAAGGAAAGAAAGAAGGTGAGGGAAGTGGGGATTTTGAAGAAGGATCCTGAACAACTTAAAAGCAGATTGAGAACTTGGAAATGATGAGTAAGTCATACTTTTTCATGGTTTTTCCCATCCTGTGGCTGTGAAGTTGAGTTTTCCCCCGTGCAAGTGATGCTTGCCTTGACTTTTAAAGGTGCACGCAACAAATTTATGAGGCATTGAAGAAGGATTATGTGATCTTTTGTCCCCTTTTTGAATTTATGAAGTTAGTGGATTTAATGGTTCTCCGGAATTTGAGATGTTGTAAGATATGATTTGGTCGAGTACTCATTGCTGATATGAGTATCAAGTATCAAGAACTATTAAGAGTTTTGCTCAGGATTTTTTTTTTTTAATTTGAAAAATGTTGTCACAGAAGATAAGTGAGTCATACTCAAATACTACGTCAACAAAGTAACAAATGCTTCAACCCAATGCTTATAGAGCTCTTATAGAGTTCTATAAGATCAGAATATGAATATGGGGGGAATGGAAACAAGATGATAAAGTGCTCCCCATGCACCACTTTACTGGCTAGTGGCAACCTTTTTTGAATTCTTCCAAAGGTCAATTCTATCATAAAATGAATGCGAATGTTCCTTTGGCTTTGCAAATTGCATGGAGCATGGACATCTCCCTATTTTACCCTATATGCACATGTTCTGTTGTAGGACTCAAATGAGCTAATTGTTTTAATACACAGAAAAGTACAATTTTTTTTTTTTTTTTTTGGGGTTCAGATTTGTTCTAAGTCATGTATAGCTCAAGGTGTGCAATACATAGGTATTTTGTGCTTTGTTTGGTGTTCTGGGTTATGTTCAGAGAGGAAACAGAGCACTCATAGGTATTTATTGGGTGGTTCCATTCTTTTTTTCCCCCCAACCCTGTCCTTATGTTTCCTTGTCTCGTTCACTTCTTTTCTTTTTTCCCTTAAATTTTTGATCTGGTCATGCTGATCAGTTACTAAAGGATTTTGTTTTGCTAGCATCTTATAATGTATTTACTAGTATTCATCAAGTATCATATTTAACCTTTTACCTGTCTAAAGTAACTGTGCATTGGTGATTATGGCAGAGGCTGATGGTGCTTTGGACAAGGCAAGAAAGCATAAGAAGAGACAGCTTCAGGACACACTTAACCTTGTGTTAAAGAAGAGGAAGGTACCAAGATGTTATGTCATCTTTTTGTTGCCTATTTGGAGAAGTCATGAATTAATATTGCAAATAAAAGCAATCGGAATCTGAGTAGACATTCTCTCTCCTCTTCTGGATAGAGAAAATATTAGTCTCTGGATCCACATTCCCTTTAATTTTTAAAGCTGCTTGCAGTTTTCCCCTGAAATTATTATTGTTATTCATTATTGATTGTCTAGTTCCTTTTTTGTTTGGTCAGGAATATGAAGAGAAAATGCGGGAGAAGGGCGAGACCCCTGTTATGTTCAGGTAAGAAGTGTCTTCTGATATTTTAGAAGCTGAATTTAACTCCAAATTCCAAGTAATGTTTGGTTAGCTCATCAATCGTAGCATTTCTTTTGGTCAGTCATTTGGGTCTTCCCCGAAGACGAACAACTGCAGAAGAAGAAGAGAGAGTCAAGCATCCAAAGCCTGAGGTAGGATATAAGTTGTTTACATATCTGTCTCTCTCTTTTCCAGCTTCCAAAAAATGGAAAGCTCCAGTTTCGGGGCTGTTGTAAACATTCCTGACTGACATTGTACCGTTTTTTTGGGATACAAACATTGTACTGATTTTTGCAACAGGACTCTGTTTACTATCATCCAACACTAAACCCCACTGGCGCTCCGCCACCAGGGAAACCTCCCATGTTTAAATCATCTGTAGGTATGTTGAACTTCTTTTATACCTGCCTATGCCATGGATTGAGATTGTTGATGGTTTGCATTTGCTGGCTCTCTTTATTTGATTTACCTTTGTGTTGAACTACAGGACCCAGAATTCCCTTGTCTGGTGCTTCATCAAGTAATGCAGCATCATCCTCAAAGTCAGAATCAGAGGATGATGTGTTAGCTGTTCCTCCTCCTCCCCCACTTCCTCCTCCACCTCCCTTGCCTGATACTAGCGGTGGTAGTTCAGCTGAAGGCTCAGTTTTACCTGATTCTTTGCCTTTACCTCCACCACCTCCCATGCCACCTAAGCCTGCTACTGCTAATGTGCCTACATCATTGCCACCACCTCCTTTGCCACCCCCACCTCCTGGACCTCCACCTAAAGAGCTAGTTGCTAACCGCCCTATACCCCCTCCACCTCCGCCCCTCCAACAGTCTCAGCCACCAGTACCTGGAACGAGTGGAAGTGAAGAGAGAAATCAATCTTCCTTGTTAGATGATTCATCTTTGGAGGAGCGTGCTCAGGTAAGCTTAGCAACTTATTCTTTGTTAGTAAAGGCATGGAACTGAATTTGTGACAGACGTGTTGATTGGTAAAGGGTTTTATTTGTTTTAGGAAAGTTAGTGGACTTCCTAATTTGGCTGCCAAGCAGAAATTGTTAGACGTTATGTGTCTAAATACTGAATTTTAAAACTAGGAATTGATATTATTGTACTAAGCTGCAACTTCCTGTGTGGTGACTTATTCTCTAAAATTTAGGTGTCTCGTCCTCCGCCGCCTCCACCACCAAGTGGAATGCCACCAAAGTCTGGTGCTAGTCAGTCAGATGGCCCTTCTTCTAATGCTGATAATAAAAACACTTTGGCGAGCCAGGAGATCCCTACAATGGTCCCTGGGCCCCCTCCAAGGCAACAGCCTTTAGTTCCAGGACCCACATTAATTCCAACCTTACAGCCTGATGTTTTACCCCCCGGAACATCTCGATTTGCACCGCCCCCACCACCCCCTCCTGATATGAGACCTCCTTTACCTCCCCCCGGACTCCCAGGTCAAGCACCACCTCCTGGAATGATGGTCCCGATGATTCCAAGGCCACCTTATGGCCCTCCCCCTGGGCCACCTCCAATGATGAGACCTCCACTTCCTCCTGGTCCTCCTCCTAGCTTCCAGGAGGAGGATCATGCGGCTATGAGGCCACCCCCACCACAGAAACCATCGTATGTTAAATCTGCTGCTTCAACTGTTGTTAAGAGACCACTGGCTCAGCACACTCCAGAACTTACGGCCATGGTAAGACCAATTGCTCTTTTATTAGTCCTTTATGCTGTTATCTTGACTCCATTTTCTTTCTCGTTAACTTTATGAAATCAGACCAATGGAATGCTGCTATTTGGGATCAGAATAGTGTTGTATTTGTGCTTCAGCAAGGATTTAAAAATTGCTTTAGTCAAATCGCTTTCTAACATCCAACTGGCTTATTGGGCCAAGAGTTTTGGCCACAATTTTATGTAGGGACTAATTTGTTTTATCTAATAAAAAAGGTTGTATAAACTTAGCAATGGTGCAAAAACTATGCAATTTTGATTTCAGAAACCCAGATGATAAAAAATTGAACAAACCATTTGTCTGGTATCCATTTCAACTGCATAAGACTGAGGGGGTGTTTGGGTGATTGTCTAAACCATGGTTTGGGAAAAAATTACCCAAACACCTATCAATTTTTTAAAATCATGGTTTTATGACAAAACCATGGTTTGCCTATCAAAACCAAGGTTTTGTAATAAGCTAAAAATTTTTGCTTTTTGAGTGGTTCTCCCCCAACCCCTTACGTATGGTTTTTTTTTTTTTTTTTGGTTGAAAATAATTATTTAGTTTTCTAAAAACATAATCTTATATTTTATAATTATATATACACATATAAAAAATTACCACATCTTGTTTTTAATATAACACCTCATTTGATTTTTATTTGGTCCTAAATATAAAACCTCAGTCTACTTTATTTCTCATATTTGTCTATCGTTTTTTAAGTTATAACCAATAAACTTGATTAATAGGGATATTGTAGAAAAGGCAACACCTATTTATTATAAATAATTAACTTAACTTATTTTTTTAATTTACTCAAATTAGTCAACTAACTCTTACATTTATAACTGGATATAGTAATTAATATATGTTTTTATACATTGTTTATTATGTTGGCAAAAAAAAATTAATAAATTTATTATTTCGGTTTTTAATGTAGGACCTGATTGGAGATTTAATATTGGTCTTAAATGTAAGATTATTGTTCCGGTCATTAATGTAAAACCTAATTAGAAAGTTAATATATAGACAAGGTCTTAATACCTTCATCAATAGATCTTCATTTCACATGGCTTGGCTTTGTGATTCCATAAGAGATCAAATTATTCACTATATACAAGAATAATCATGTCCCTTTTATTTTCTCTTTTCTTTTCAGATAATGGAATGTGTTGTTAAAAAAAACTACTTGGACAAATATATTTTGTTGCAACCTCTATTATTAAGACAATTAATATGAAATTTTTTTGTGTGGTTATTTAATTTTGTGAAAAAAAAAATATGGGATTTCATCTTTAAAATTTTTAAGAAATATTTTTGGCAAAGTAAATCATTTTCCTAAAAACATATTTAATTATTTTATTAATATATATACACTTTAATTTTTTATTAATTATATTATTTATGTCTTATTTATTATATTGCCAAAATATATATTATTAATAAATTTATTACTTCAAATAAAATATATTATGAAATATATCTTACATGTAATTATCATTTAAACTTATGTCTTTTTTAGTAATTTCTACATATCAAAAAGCATTTCTGACAATAATTATCCAAACACTTTCACTTTATCAGAATCACTTTTTCAAAAAATCTATTCTTTCAGAATCTATTCTCTCCAGAATCTATTCTCTAAAAGCTATTCTCCAAACCATAGTTTTGCCTCATCCAAACACCCCCTGAATGGTAGTATCATATGCCTAAGAATGGCTGATCTTGTGAATTCAAAAGTCGTGCGATACATGGAAGTAGCTCTTAATGTAATAGTTTCTTGGGTCTGGTGTGACTGAGCAAAAGACTTACTCATATGCAATAACTTGCATCATTTTTCTCCCCATGTTTTTTGTTTAGGTTCCTGCATCTGTTCGAGTGAGAAGAGAAATTGCAGCGCCCAAGCAAAAACCAAAACCAGCAGCATCGAACTCTGCAACAGTTGCTGGAACATCGGCACCAACTATTGTGAAGTCAGAGTCAGTAAGCTCGTCATCAGCACCAAAAGGACAGAGCATTGATGACTCATATATGGCTTTCTTAGAGGACATGAAGGCCCTTGGAGCCCTCGATGGCTGAGATAAATGCAAGGGGTTAGAAATTGGGGGAGTAGAAAGAAACCACGCTCAAGTGTGAAAGGAAAAAAAACATGACTAGCTTTTGAGCGGACCTGATGCGGAGGGTAGAGTTGTTTGCTGTCCTCTGTTTGTTGACTTCATTATCATGCTCAAGGCAGGAGAAAGTAAACAAAACTAGCTTTTTCAGCGGAACATGATTCTGAGAGCTGACTTTTTTATTGATTTACTCCCTTTCTGTGTCTCTGATAGTCTTTTTTTTTTTTTTTGAGCTGATGGATAGTCTATTTATTAAAACGAATTGTTGCTTCATATTGTTTTTAGTTACAAGACATCGATTTAAACTAACTCGGTGGTTAATATGACGCAACGGGGGCAATGTTCTTAAGGGCAGTGGAGCGGGCAAAATGCAAGAGTATAGAAGTATATTTCATTCATGTTATAAAAATTGTCACTGCTTTATAGTTAGTTACCTTTTAATTACCATATTGATCTTCTGGACTTTACTGTTTCTGTTCTTTAGCATGCACGATAGGTTGTCATGTTCTTTTAGAGCAGGTTTTGAAGTTTCCCAAAGTCTATTTGAGAAGTTTGAGCTGGGTGTCTGGAAAACACGAGCACTTAAAAAAGGTATTTTCACGTTACAATTCTACCGACCACTGACGTTATTGAAGTGGACTCAGTTTATGGCGAGAATATTGCTAACTACTCTGGATGTGATTGTCAAATCAAAGGTTTCAAAAGGTGATTTTCATAATTAATTTTAACTAATTTGACCTTGTTTGCGGATTTGAATTGTGAGATGAATGAGTTTCTGACCAGACAAGCTTACCTTTTTCATGTGGGGTTGACTTTTCAACTATCTGATCACAATTCTTTTATATGAAAACGATCCATTCATTTAAGTTGATTCTTTTTGGGGTGAAAGTCAATGCTTCTTGCTGTTTGAAACTGGGAATTTTTGAATTCAACAAAATTATGAAGTGTTCATCATCATCATCATCATCATCATCATCATCATCATCATCATCGCTGCTCCTGCAACTGCTATTATTATTACTACTGAGATTTGGAGCTTGAGAGGATGAGGTTGGGGGAATTGGAAGGGATGTTTTTATCAAAAGGCAGGGATGTAGAATAGAAAAATTGGAAAAGGAGCCTTTTGTCTTCGTTTGGTGAGACGCGTTTCCTCCCTCCCTATTTTTATATGCACCAAATGGACGAATGGTCGTCGACCATCAAACTCAATCAAATCAACATTTGTGCAAGCGGGTAATGCGAGTATTGACTTTACTCCTCATCTTCGCCGACACTAAACAACTCTCCGGCTTAACTTGCACAAAAATAGAATTTAGTATGACTTCTTGAAGAAATTTTTTGCCCAATTCTTTCAATAAAAGCCACAAAACAGTAATACAATTTTAGGCTTAACTATCATGTAAGCCTCTTGTACATTTTCACAACAAACACCAGATTGGGGAACACGAGAGAGAAAGCAAAAAATGGAACGAAATGAGAGAGAAAATTTTCGTTGAGCCAGACGTTTAACATGCTTAAAAAACAATTAAAAAAATTATTTGATTCGTGTAAAAGATGAAAAAAAGAGGAAAATAAGAATATGAAAAATCTCCATAATATCTCTCATATAAAAATAATAAAAATGATTGTATCGTATTTTTAAATAGTAAAATATATTAAAAAAAAACTTTAAAATTATCATACTAGTATCATACCAAAAAAATTATTATTGCTGATCAATGTTAAAATAAATATTGCAATTTTAGTTATTATTGGTTTATAAATCTTTATTCTTATTAATAATCACTGAAAGAAATAACCATAAACAAAAAAAGAAAAATTAGGGAAAATCCCTTATCACAAATTTAATTGACAAATAATTTTTAGGATGATTGATTGCACAAGAAAAGATTAATTACACACAAAAGAAGATAAGTTACAAAAAAAAAAGATGATTTGCACAAAACTATTTGAAGATAAGAGATTAGTTTGCATATAGGGAAGATGATTTGTACATAAAAAAATTTTACTTGCACAAAAGGAAATCAAGCTACACATCGCACAAAGGAATATTATTGTATACATGGAAAGATAAATTGCACACAAAAAAAGTTAAGTTACACAAAGTCCTTAGGTCCCATTTGCCAATTAAATTTTCAATTAGGAATTTATTCCCAATTTTCCCAACAAAAATTCATTTGTATTTTCTAATGAATTTGAACTTTTTTTTTAATCATTTTTACATATAATACCTACTGTCCTTAATATAAGAACTTATTTGATTTTTATTTTGATCCTAATTATAAAACTCAATTCACTTTGTCTCTTACATTTGTCTATTTTTCCCCGAAGTAGTTCTTAGTAGTTCTAGCCAATATACTTGATTAGCAAGAATATTTTAGGAAAGACAACAATTATTTATTACAAATAACTAACTTAACTAGTTTCCTTAATCTACTCAAATTAATCAACTAGCTCTTATATTAAAGATCAGAAGTAATATTATATTTAAAAAGGAATATTAGCTGATGAATTATGATTGTTTTAATTTCTTTATGATTGTTTTAAAAAGTAATATTAGTAATATCTTTCTTTGGCCAAAAAAATTTCTTAATCATAGAACTTTTTTTTTTTGCCTGCTTAATATAACCATAAATCTAATCTATTTCCTCCGGAACGTAAACGCTGCAGAATCTTCAGGCATTAGCCGCCGACAAGAAGCTCGAGAAGAGTCCTCAAACCATCTGGAGGTTTTAGGTAATCTCATCTTTGTTGACGCCGATTATCTTCTTCTGCTTTCTTTCCGAATCATTTATTCCCGCACCACCTCAAATGCCCCTCTTTTTGATCCTATCAGAATTGTTTTTTGTTGATGCAAATTGAAGCCTTGGGATTGTTTTCGTTTAGTGAGTTGATTTTGTGTTAGTTTATTGGAATGCGGACTCATATTTCGGGTTTAATGATTTGTGTTTATGCATAATCCCTGTTCGTCTCGTCTCTCTCTCCCCCTTCCCTCACCCTGCGATCAGTAGCCATAGTGGTATAGTATTGATATTTCAGTCATTGTAGCTCTTTCTTTCTCCTGGAGGCATGTCTCTGGCGTGGAATTACGGGTGAAACTACTCTCTCGACCTGTTGCACTGTAGCCTCCTTCCATGAGGAGGGAAAAACTATAGATTTCACCCCATCTATTTGGCAATACTCGTTTCTTTTGAGATTTGAGAACGACAGGAACTTCAATTCTACATTAGATTAAGTAACACCATATTACCGTCTCTCTGGCAATTAATGTGGTTATAACTGCTACAAATATTATGTCACTTGTGCCAATTATACTATATCACCCGAGGAAAGAAAATACGAATCACCGCCTTTGTTCTATGGAAGCATAACTTTTGAAAGAGCATGTTCGACACTTGCAGGACATTGTCCTAGACATAACTTGACACTTGAAATTATTCTTTAAATTACTTTCAATGTCGTCATGCCAGTTTCAGTGTCAAGTCCCGTGTCCATGCTTCCTAGCCTGTGTTAGACGAGTACATAGCGTAAATCTTGTTTCGATATAAACTTCTTTAGTTTTTATTTACTTCTCTGTTTTTCCTGTTTATCTGACTTATGTAGTTCTATTTTCCCCACTCTTTGGTTTGTAGTTCACTAGGGTTCAAGTATGGAACTGCAAAATGCTTCCCCCGCCTTGGGTTTGCAAGGGTCACAGCAAAGCCAAGGCTCAGCAACCATCGCAACTGGTGCAGAGTCAAAACCAAAGAAGAAACTCTGTTGTGCTTGCCCAGACACTAAAAGACTGCGAGATGAATGCATAGTAGAGCATGGTGAATCAGCTTGTGCAAAATGGATTGAGGCACACCGTTTGTGCCTGCGTACTGAAGGGTTCAATGTTTAAAACTGATAAGCAAGAAAAGGAGGAGTAAAAGACGACATTCGTAGAATAATTGAGTGGGTTTTATTTATGAAATTGATACAGGTTTTGGAGCACAGTACACTTTTACTAACGATAGTTACATTGTATTTGAATTTATGCATAAAGAGGAAACTGAATGCTTGATGCAACGCATAATTAACTTGTAATTTTAATTGGAAGGTTTCCTCCCTCCTTTCAATATTGTTGAAGCTGAAAGGTCTCAATGCAGAGTACTTTTTTCTTTTCCCACTCAAATTTATTTGTAGGCATACAAGTGCTACCCTTAGGTTGACGCCGTCCCGAGGAGAAAGCGTAATTCATGTTCTGAGATTACGGGCGTAAAGGCTGTTGATATTTTAAAATTTCTAATGGTTCCCTTGTTATTCACCTGATACATTTGTCCTTGCATATATTCCTTGCATGACCTAAGGGCTGAGTGTTTAATTCTCATGCATGGGTTCCAAATCTTGAAGCAATTCTCTGCAAGAACAGTTGAGTTTATCAATGCAGAATTTGCAGGAACTCGTTTCTATTAATGTTTGTTAGGCCTTTCACACTTAATCATAGATGTGAAAGAATCAGCCAATTCTGGACTCCTTATGTTCATGTATGAGAATGTTTCATTCTGATTTTTCACGTCCACCCATTGCTGGAGTTTCCTGTTTCGGTTATACCTTTTGAGTTTCAGGAACCTTTTTTTTTTAAAAAAATAAGCTGGGCAAGTTACAAACTTGACAAAAGAAGCTAAGCTAAAGAGCTTAAGACGGCATCAAGTCTGCTTGAAGAAGCTTTCTAATCTGTCGCACATCCTTATTGTTGGGTCTTAGTGTCGATTTTCATTTTGTTGCGCATAACTATACAAACAGGTGGTCTTTTTCTGCTCCAATTTTTTCTTGGTTATATACAAGGGTCTCAATTTTCTACTCACTTTTCATCTCATTTTCTCTGTATCAGGAGGCTTGCTTCAAATCTATATATGTGATATAAATATTTTAATAACATACATTGTTTGAGTCAGTGAATAGTACGATTTCTTTGCCAATCACATTATGAAGGCCAATAACTTTTGTAATCTTTTGACGTGATGTAGCAAGCCCGGTGCCCGGGGTTGCTTTCTTTCTTTCCGTTGTTCTCTTTTCGTACTGTACATATTTCCTTGATTAATGAATTCCTTTTTACTTAAAAAAAAAAAAGTAGTACGATTTAATTTTCAGATGAGACGTGCGAATTTTTCGATATAATTGTTTCAAAGGTCTATGTTCTAAATTCACTAGTAAATCATAAGTATAAAAGATGAGAACGATTTTCATTCATAGATTCTTTTTTTATGTCATGTTCTCTTCAAATACACTGATGCGTGTCTCTAAAAATAAATTTAATATCCTAGGCTTGTCTGTTTTCCCCCTCCCTTCCTCCCATTATATTTAAATTGAAAACTTGATAATAAAAATACAAATTATTGCTTATAATTTTCTTTTAATAATTATTTGGTTGACG